CCCTGGCTGCCAGCGGGGCCGCCTCGGTGTCGATGCCTGCGTTATTTTGCCCGCTCCGCCCCCGCCGGAGAAACCTCATCCTACTTATAGTGGCGACCGCAAGCGCCGAGCAGTCATGAGTCAGCCGTGCCCAGCATCGCACGGGGAGGTGAGCGCTCCGGGACTGAAAACAAAAACACAACCCCGACAAGTGCTCCTGACGCGGGAGCGCTGATTGTTCTTCTGTTCTTCGCCTCCCCTCGGGGGTGTGTGTGTATGTGTGTGTCTGTCTGTCTGTCTCTGTGTGTGTGAAGCGCCCGAATCCGAGCCCCTTCCCCACCCCGAGGCTTGGCGCCATGGTTCCTTTTGCCAAGTGGAGAGCTGTGATTCCTGCAAATTATCCCGGTGCCAGCAGCCAGTGCTTCTGAGCGAGACCCCAAATGTCAATGGACATGAAATGCACTTGGGAGAACCGGTAAATGAATAAGCCGCATTCTGCAAGCCCGGGTTACTCAGCCGGGCTCGGACGGAAAAACATAAAGATGAAAGACAGCTGATAAAAAGGAAAGTTGGGGAATAAATGATTCACAATAGGGGCCGTGAGTGAGATTATCTCTGGAGACATCTCTAATTAAAGGGCGTTGGATAACTAGAGGGTTACATTTTCCTGGGTCAGTGATCTTGAAAAAGAAATTGCAGTTGCAGTAAATGTCAATAAAGAATGATGGTGACCTACTACTAACAAAAGCACGTTCAGTAATTAACATGTGCATGTTTGTTGTTTTTTCTGCGTTTGTCAGTTTTCGTTGTACATTTTCATCCTCTGTTTCCCCCTTTCACTACAGCCAGATGATAAACTGTGTTTTCTGTATCTTTTAGACAGGAGCCATTCCTGTGAAGTTTTCTCAGTGATGTCTTCTGAAATTGCATCAGCTACCTGCATTCTCAAAGTCTGCTCAACTCCAGAAAACTATGTTGTCAACCTAGATTCAACTCTTTGTGTGTCAGGGCAAGCATATAATCACTTTTCGAAAGTGTGATTCTCCCAGTTTGCATTTTGCACTATTGTCCACTTGTGTAAAGTGGAAAGCCTTCAGTTCCTCACAGCATTTTTACCCCTACTCTTCCCAGCTACATGTAGCTGCAGAATAGCACCCCACTGGAGATGTTGACTCATAAACTTCACTTTCCCTTTCCAAGTCGTGTTCATATGAAGCCTTGCTCACCAGTGCCATTTAGGTTCTGCAGACGTATATGGTGTAAAGCACACAAAAAGTCCCACAGGGTGCAAGAAGACTCATCGTGTTTATACACCAGCAGGGCTGAGTCTTCGTGTTGCCTTGTTTTTCCCTGAGACACAAAAATAATTTTGTATTGGCATGAGAGATAAAAATACTATAATGAGAAGGACAGAGAGATAAAAATAAGCCATGCAGCATTTGTAATGCTTTAGTTAGCGTGCTACTTGTCCTTGCATTCAGAGTGCACCTATTCTGTTATTTACAGCACACTACAGGAGATACAGCTTCAGGGAGTCAAAGCCATCCAAACTGGAAACAAAGCACGCCGTGTGTACTGGCTGATGCTTTAGAATGAATGCTACCATTTGGCTAAAAGGAGGAGTAATGTGAGAATGTCCCTTCTGGGTTTTATTATTCAATCTATGCTGTGATAAAATTTTGCAGTGGCTTCAGTGTGAATCAGGTCATGCTTTTGCAGGACAGAGATACCAGTACAGAGTGAAAGAAGGTAGAGCTAAGCAAGAGCTCTGCACAGAGGCTTTTTGAAAGCTCACCAAGGAGCTCCATGCAGCTTTTGGTACCTAAATGCTATTAATCATTTTGTGATCAACTCATAATTCAAAGCAGAGTTCACCTTCCCTTAAGTCACTCAGATCATGATTTTGTTATGGCTGTTGTATTTCCATATAACAGTAGAAAACTGAGGAAAAGCTGACAGTAGTTTTCCAAATACAGAAGGAATATTATGTTAACCAAAAGGAATATTATACTAACCAAATGAAGCCTACAGTTTAAAAATGCTATTTTTTATCACATATTTTGCATTTTAATGCTTTGGCTTTCCAATTCATTCCCAAACTGCTTATATTCCAGCAACAAATCTGGTCTGATACTGTTTCCATTGCAATCAACTATCTTCATGCCTAAATTTTTGTATATGTAACTATTTCTGGACCACTTTTCTTGCAGTGCAGCCAAACATATATTCCAGACAAATATGAGTTATTTGAAGAGGTGCCATGTATGGTGTCTCAAAACAATACCCAGTTTGTCAAGCAAAAACAACAAAATAAGGTAAGAATGAAGGTGAAGAGGTACAATTTAGAAGGTGACCCAAGAATACTTTAAGAGATAACCTGCCATGAATGCTGCAACTCATCATCCAGAAAAGGCAGCATCCACACATTCAACAACATGTGTTGGCTCAGAGCTATGGGCAAATTTCCTGGTTGCATGTTACCTTTACTAACATATTAATTAGGTGGTTTCTCCACACTGCCATGACTTCATCTCTTTCAGAAGGACTGCCTGGTTGAGCTTATGGCACTTGACCTACTTTTCAGTGCTCCTTTTTGGATAGCACAAAACTTTCCAGAGTAGCTGAATTGTGAATGTATCTTTCAATCATATTTCATATGTAAATTTAAAAGATTTTAAAGTGAATCCAATATTGTAAAACATGTCCCAACATCCCTTTCTGAGATCTCATTTGCATATCAATCTTGTAACTTGAATAGTCTTAATAGTGCCACTTGTTGGAGAGCTCTGTGTATTGCAAGGTATTTCAGTCACGTATTTATAAAAACAAATGGCTTTTTCCTAGTGAGAGGCAATTCCTAATTTAAAGTGCTATGGAAAGACAAGTACTGCAGTCTTGGCTTCAACCACGCTGACTCAAAGACTATGAATGAGCAACACGTTACTGGGTATTACGCAATTTGATCTTTACAATGGTAATGAAGGAGTGAAAAGGGAAAAATAAGGACAAATTTTGCAAGTTTTAATTCAGGAAGTTGTCATTTCCTTCCGAAGCACATTTTGCCCTGCAGCATTTGGGTTGAAAAATACCAGTTTTCCTGGGTAAGCCCTGGTCCTGTGCTGAGATCTAAGCCATTATTGGTAATTATGCACATATTGTCCTGGGTTATGCAGGTAGATTTAATGTCATTGCATAATTTTCTTCGCAGTGGTTAAGAAATTCACAGTTGATTATTGATTATACAAAAGGCACCACATGTCTTTTCACAAGCAGGTCCTAACACACCCCAGGTGCATTACATTTCCTGGAGCTCTGACAGTATTAAAGCACACCCTGAGTCAGTGGCAGTGACAGCTACGAAGGAGACATTGTCATGGTGTGCCATATCAAAGATCCACAGTGTAGCATCTCCGGAGTGTGGCTTGACAACACATCAAAAGCTCCACAAAGGAGCATTTGTCATGCACAGAGCTTCAGATCCCTGGCATGGCATTTTGAGGATCTGGTGAGATACAATATTGGAAATATATTGAAGTATCAGCGTTGTTGCTGGGACTAAAGTTACAGTGTCAGGAAGCAAGGCAGGAAAACACGGCAGGCACTGACCTTTAAAAAAGATTGATGCAGGTAACATAATAAAAAAGGAATATAAGGAACTCTTTGTATGTCAAGAAACAGAGGGCCAGAAATCACTAAGGTTTACACACTATTTCCAAAAAGTATTTTGTGGTCAGTAAGTGAATTCACTGTTTTTCATCTTTTTCAAAAAAAAAAAAAAAAAAAAAAAAAAAAAAAAAAAAAAAGAGATGTAAACCATTCACATCGCCTGCTTGCTGGGGTCACCCAACTTAGGTTTGACATAGTTTAATTTGGCAAAAGTAGTTGCAACACCTATGCTAGACAGGTAGTATGAATGAGCTAAAAATTATTCTTTCCAATGGTTTTGCAGGAGATGAGAATTTGTTAGCCCCAAAGCAAACACAGCCCTAGCAGCCTGCTGGTGCTTTGAAGTTCAGTTGTGTGAAAAGCAGCGCAAATACAGCCCCCAGCAAGTCCTGGAGATGGCTAGCCAGGTTAGGCTTTGTCCTTCCTCATTTTGTTTTAAGTCAGTGCCATCTTCTGAGAATTTCCTCAACTCTTTTACTGCATTTAGCTTTTTTTTTACTCAGTGTGCTCATTATTATTTACAAATTGTGAGTTACCTTCCAGAATTTGCATTTAGAATAGTATTTTAAAATATAACATATAACTTCTTTTTTAAAGAGTTCTGAAGGTCAAGTCTGTCAAATTCCATGATTTCACAGGTCAGGATGATCCCAGAGTCTGTTTCTAAAAGCAAGCGCATCTGAAATTACTTATTTAAATCTTGGTTCACATGTTCTCCTATCACTAAGAATCAGCACAGTCAAATGGTTTGAGGGCAGTTGTGGGCAAAACCTTGTTTTGCTCAGCTTGTAATCCATCTTTTCAACAACACTTGGCCTTTAGAGTTATTGTATTAAGAGTATAGAAATCTGGGAGAAATTAAGCCCCTTTGCTTTCCAGCTAGCCCTGAGATCAGAGGGGCTGGGTCGGGCTGAGCTTTATTTCTGTTTACAACTAATTTGACACTGTAAGTCCACTTGCGTTCATTAAGATCCCAGATGCACAAATAGTCTGGGTTACACTGTAGGTCTGGTCTCCTTCACAATCACAGATTCACAAATAGTGCAGTGTGCAATTCAGCACCATCAGTCTGGTCACATTCAGCAGGAGCTTTCACAAACACGGGTTTACAAATAGTGCTGTTTATTGGAGCAACATCTTATAGATTCTCTCTGGATTGCTGGTGATAAGTTCACTAGACCTGCAAAATACTAGCATGTAGCACTATGTACAAATGTTCCAGAGTATGCTCCTATGCAGTCAGAGGAATCTTACCAAAATGCAAATCTTACCAAAAATGTGTCACTGGCTTTGGGGAAGAGAGAGGAGCAAGTCCATTGACTTGTCTGTAATGTGAGAGATTTACAATGCTGGTTCCACTTTGGGGGAGAAGTGGAGGCAGTCAAATATTCTATTAGTGCTGTCATAAGTGGGGAAGGGGGTAACCTCTTAATGTGTAAATGGAAAATTCCAGAGAGAGTACAAAGACTCTGGGTCTTGTGCGAGGCCAGCACAGAACCATGG